GACATGGGCAATAGAATAAACAATGCTGATGGGATAGTTCAGATGTCGAATCTATTGAAACACTTACTAATATGGCCACTAGATATTAAAATCTGAGAAATCTTCTGAATCGTCTCCTCAGTATAAGCCCTTAAACATGTGCTACTAAAATATATAGATTGAAATGCGCTAGAGTAAATATTGTCTTGCTGGAGTGCTATCTGGATGTAACCCACTTTAAAGTGTCCAGCACTTCACTCAGTGGGCGTTTCTTTCATCTCGCGGGGATGGAGCGGGCAGCACTGTCGAGCAAAACAACAGCTGCTACTAAAAACAACAGAGCCCCATCAAAGAGCGCTGGAACGAAATTAATCTAAAATTCACGCTAATAGGAGGAAGGTCCACTGAGGAAACAATGTGAGACTTCCATAAGTCTCTCAAGTTTCACAAGTGACACAAGCTTGTTTGCCCAAGAAATGACTCTGCTGGACTCTATTTGTCATCCGCACTGCTCGCGAATGATGAGAGATGAAAAACCTGTAAATGAAACTTCAAAACTCCTCTGAAGGCGCGTCTGCGATTTATAAAAAGACAGTGTATTGCTATAATGGTGAGTGAATGTCTTAACTCAGGTTTGGATCGGCTCATTTGGTGTAGCAGCATGAATGCTGCAAGTGCGTAGATGAGCAATTTACCATCGAAGACACTGTTTATCTTCCAAGCTCATTTTATCTTGTGTCTCTCAAAGCCAATGCTTACTGTCTATTGTGCGCAGTTCTTCTCTGATTTTGCAAAATCAGCTGTAACGACTTCAGTGGCCATGCTGTGAGACCCAGGCTCTCTCTTTATTGCAATGACAGCCACAGAAAGATGTTTACCTTCTCTACAGCCCCTCCTGCTGAGACGTGTGGATTTGTGTCCAAAAAGATTGCTCGGTAAACGTGCTTCAGAGAAAGTTTGTAGGCTGAGTGTTGGGTAAGTTACTTCAAAAAAGCAATTACTTCCCTAAACTAGTATTATTTTAATTTTCAATTTACCTTGCCTGGAAAGTAATTTAGTTCCTCAATAAGTAATTAAATGACTTGACTCATTATTAAAAATGCAGATGAATACAAAAGCATTAGAAACTCTTAGTTATTTAAACTTGAGTCAAACAGGACATCTCAGTTTTATTTAAATTAAATGAACACTTTAGCCCAATCCCAATTCTTTTTTAATTGTATAAAATTCGTAATAATGACAAAAAAAATAAAATAATAATAATAATAATAATTTGTGGATCTTCTTACTTCCGGGTGCAACTACTGTATGCTGCCGTTGTGGCTTGTGTATTCAAAGAAATTTTCTTACCCCTTGGTTTGGTTCTGAAAAATCTCTGTTCGAAGGGGTATCTACCCCTTCCCCTTAAGCCTGGTTTATACTTCTGCGTCAAGTGACCAGCGTATCCCATGGCGCATGCAACGCATGCAGCTGTGCATTTATACTTCTGTGCGCTGTCTCTGTTGGTCTGCATTAACACTTCTGAAACGCTAGTTGGCAGTGAGATGTAAATGTTCCTCTGTGTCGAGTTTCTTCGGTGCTGTTTTGATTTTCCTGAACACTTCCGGGATGTACAAGTGGCTCAAACCCGCTCATTTTGAGGCAGGAACCGACGGACGTGCAACAACTTTAACTATGAGGTAAACACAAAACAAAACTTTCCATCCGGAGCTCCTTCACGGGACTCCACACTTGTAAACAATCGCTACATTGGGCTCGCGCCATTCACGCGGCTCTCGGTCCCGCCCAGACTCGTCAGCGCTACCAAGCTGACCAATCAGAGCTTGCGCTACGCGTCGTTGCGGATTGGGCCTTAAATTTTAAACAATATATAAGCATCATATTTTATACATATATTGACATGACTTTTCTTAAACATGAACAATTGTCAGATAAATCTATCCCTCTTTAGTTGAAAATTTGATTTAGTAAGCAAAATATCAACGATATATACAATAACAGTGGTTCCTCGTTATTCGTTACGTTCTAAAAATAACCTGCAATAGGCGAAATCCATGCAGTAGTCAGCTTTATTTTTTATAATTATTATAGATTATTTAAGGCTGTAAAACCCCTCACTACAAACTATATACTCTTTTCTCAGACAGGCATTAACATTTTCACACTTTTCTCTCTCGTTTTAACACTCTCAAAGTTCAAACCTTCGTATAAAAATAAGCCCAGTATCATAGAATGAACAAACATTCATTCATTCATTCATTCATTCATTCATTCATTCATTTTCTTGTCGGCTTAGTCCCTTTATTAATTCGGGTTCGCCACAGCGGAATGAACCGCCAACTTATCCAGCAAGTTTTTACGCAGCGGATGCCTTTCCAGCCGCAACCCATCTCTGGGAAATGAACAAACATTTGATCTTCATTTATTTATTCCGTAATGGCGCCCTACAGCCGCGTAACTTCTACCTTCCTTTAGCATGTCCAGAAGTTCAACTTTTTGTGCGATGGTAAGCATCTTCCTCTGCCTTTTAGGTGCTACTGCGGGTGCCTTTCGACTGTTTCGTCGACATTGTGAGAAGAAAACAGCTCTTCAGAATCACACAGCTAGCGATTAACGATTTATGTAAATCTGACAAGCTGAATGCATATTGTACTGTACAGGAGACATGGAGGAGATTGACTGACAATAGTCTATAGCCAATCAGGATGCAGAACACAATGCGCTGTCGAAAAAAAAGGCATGTCAAATTACACGAAAAAAATCTGCGAAACTGCGAAGCCACGAAAAGTGAACCGCGTTATAGCGAGGGACCACTGTACTGGGGTTCTCTGAATGTATACCTTATACCAGGGGTTTTCAAATTGTGAGGCGCGCCTCCCCTGGGGGGCGCCAGAGCATGTCAGGGGAGGCGCGGGAAAAAATATTATATAATAAAAATATAATTATTAAGTTTAATTATTATATGTATTTTTTATTATTTTTAAACGTTTTAATTAAACAAAGCTAAAAAAATAATACGTCAAAAATAAGAAAACCTTTTTTACCCAGAAGGCCATAGCTGTGAATTCGCTTCTGTTTGGCAAGCCCGCCAATACAGGGATATGCCTGCTAATACAATGGATCGGTTTCTGAGACCCCCCGATTCAAAGCCTTCAAGTTCAGGGCTCAAACCCAAAAGACGACGATATGATGATCAGTATTTGAGTTTAGGATTTACATGGACAGGACCAGATGATGAACCCCGACTTTTATGTGTGGTTTGTCAAGATATTTTGGCTAATAACAGCATGAGACCCGCTAAACTTCGGCGACACCTTGAATCCAAGCATGATGAGGTAGCAGGAAAACCTCCAGAACTTTTTGTGTGTGTGTGTGTGTGTGTGTGCGTGCGTGTTTGGGAGGAGGGGGCGCCAATGGATAAGTTGTGTCAAAAGGGAGGCCCACTGTCTTAGACTTTGAAAAACCCTGCCTTATACTATCATGAACTAATTGTTCAAATAAATGTAGTTTACTTAATTGAAAAAAATATTATTAATCTGTTAAATAAATTTGTATAAGCAAAAATACAATTTCTCTATGTCTCTGAATTGATTTATATAGAAGTGTTGACTCTATGCACAGCATTTAAGCAAGTATATTGTACGTAATTGTAATTCAGTGACCTTAAGTAACCCTTGCTTTACATTCATTTATTCATTTTCCTTCGGTTTAGTTCCTTTATTTATCAGGGGTTACCAGAGCGGAATGAATCGCCAACTATCTAGCATATGTTTTACACAGCGGATGCCCTTCCAGCTGCAACCAAGTATTGAGAAACATCCATACACACTCATTCACACACGTTCAATACGGACAATTTAGCTTACCCAATTCACCAATAGCACATGTCTTTGGACTTGTGGGGGAAACCGGAGCACCCGGAGGAAACCCATGTGAACATGTGGAGAACATACAAACTCTGAAAGGCTAACTGACCCGGCCAAGACTCGAACCAGCAAACTTCTTGCTGTGAGGTGACAGTGCTAACCACTGAGCCACCGTGTCACCCACATCACTTTTCAGAGGTAAAGTAATTTCATTACAGTAACAAATTACACCCAACAATGGTCGGTTCAACTGGAACTTACCAAGAGGGAGAACGGCTGCTGGGAGACCCGGAGCGGGAGTAGGGAGACCTGGAGAGGGATCTGCGCCTGTGGTGAGATGAAGAACGAGAACGGGAGCGGGAGATGGAGCGTGGCCAGCGGAGGTGCTGTGGGGAGAGCTGAGAGGAAGGAGGCGAGACAGAGCACCATGAAAAGGAACTGCTGGAAGGGGAGCTGGAGGGTGACCCTTCGAGGAGCAGCTCGAGTGGAGAACCTTCCCCCAAGTAGAACAGGCGCTCCCGGCCTACCTCCAGGTCCTCGAAATCAGGCAGACCTGGGTGGATGTAGTCGCCGAGTAGACCCGGGTACTCATCCCCAGAGTCACTGTCCTCAATTGGCTGTTTGCCCCTCGGCTCTCCCACTACCCCGCTATAGAAGGCTTGCTGAGGCTTTCCAAAGTGCTTGTTGAGCTCGTCCCGGATCTCCTGGTCCCTAAGAAGTTTCCTGCCACCAGAACTGCAGTCCATTGTCATTTTGGAGCTTGAGTCGTGGTGCTGCACGTGAGCATATGTGTCCGGACAAGCCTCCTGAGGTGTTGGGGAAAGGCCTTGAAGCTGCCTGGCCAGTGAGGAAGACGAAGGGGGGGTGGAAGACAACGATGATGTCGTAGTAGTGGAGGTTGGCATGTTTAAGTCTTTACATTCCACATGCCGGCCCTCTGTTGGCCCGGGTACCACTGCAGCTGGGGTGGTGCTGTCTCGTTTTGTGCTTGTAGATTGGCAATAGTCATGATCGCCAAAGACACGGGGCATGGGCCGCTTGCCCCGACGATCCTCCAAGCCCCCTTGGGGCATAGTGGAGGACGCCTTGCTCAGCTGGGCATAGAGCTCAGTCTGCTCTGGGCCCTTCCGAATAGAGCCGCTGGTTGGCTGAGGGCAAGAGCCCCCATTACTCAGCCTGGGCCTTTTGCTTGTCAGGGCCGAGGGAGAGCATGAAGACAGCTTGTTTTTGAGTGATACTTTGAAAGGGTTCTCTTGACTGGCTTTGTGAGGAGGCGTGGTAGGTGGTGTCAGACCTGGAGGGAAGAAGAGACAAAAGATTTACCAAACGGGATCACTCTCATTCCTCAACAGTGCTCAAGAGTGTCTCTAAGTGATTGAACACTCGAGCCTGATTAAAATATTCCCTTTCATTTAGGGCTAATCCTTATCCGCATTTTATTGCGACCCTGACAGATCAATGTGACCTCAGATTGCACTGCGATACAGACACAGAGTTACTCAATTAAACTTCCTCCAGACCGTAAACAATCCTAATTCATCAGAAAGTAAACAGTCAGATCTTATAATGATAAGACTGGTGGTTTCAACAGATGCGCGAATGCTATCCTCATGGGACTCCGATGAAAGCACGGTGATGCGGGAGCTGTTATCATTCTCTTCATCTTTGCCACCTTTTCTCCTCATGAACCCCAACCATCTTGACAGATTTATGTGCCAACAGATGGCACTTATATGGGAAGTCTTGAGATGTGCTGCTTTATGGCATTGGTTAATGCACTTGCACAAACAACCAGGGGTAGTTCCTCATTATTTCCTTCCACTTCTCCTTCTCTCTTTCTATATCAACGTGTCTTTGATTTCTGCTTTCCTGATTCATAGCTTGTATCACAAGCTCTCTATAAATTATTTTTTTTTCATTTTGATTAAACACCGAGTGTTTTTTAAGTGCATCAAGCGACAGCCATTTCAGAATGTTTTCAAGATCACATCCTTTACGACCCTATCCTGAAGCAGATTTTTCAAACAGAATGCCCATTATTTCGAACATCCCCCTCCTCTATCTTTTTTTGTCTTCATTTATGTCAGTCACTAAATTAAATGGATACAGTACCGCAGCCAGCGCAAGACTGATTCGGCATACAAAACAACAGTGGCCTTGACTAAATTTATCATCATGCCAATGCAATGAGCTATGAAAAGAAAGCACGCACTGCCAAAAGAACTTCTGCTGCACCAATCAAACACCATCTGGGCAAAACAATGCATGAAGGGTCATAAACCAAGGACCATTATCGCCTTTACATTACATTACATAAATTACATTACATGGCATTACATAAAGGCAGCCATGATGAATGCGCACAGATACGAACACTAATCATATAGCAGTGGGTTCTCTCGTCTGTTTCTGGCAGGGTGTGAATTACAAGGGGACCTCTGAACGAATTATTGCTTAAAGCTTACAGAACTGATCCCTGCGGTAATCTTAAAATGCCATGCAAGGAACGTAACGCACACTGACCTGGGTGTCATATGATACCATAATTAAAGGAACCCCCGCTCAAGTTAATCTATTAGAGGGATGGGGATTAGGGAACGGTATTAAATCTGGCACTTTCATAGCACTGGCGATTCTGCAGGTGTCAATGTGTTCTGCTCTGCAGAGGAAAAACCTGGCCATTTTATAATTCAACAGCTTCCTCACACTGTTGGCATGATAAACAAGCCCCAACAGTAGTATATGTTATGACTTTGGACTTTTATCCGTCTTTACATGGACTTGTTTATTATTATTATGATTAGTTATTCATTCATTCATTCAATTTCTTGTCGGCTTAGTCCCTTTATTAATCCGGGGTCACCACAGCGGAATGAACCGCCAACTTATCCAGCAAGTTTTTATGCAGCGGATGCCCTTCCAGCCACAACCCATCTCTGGGAAACATCCACACACACATTCACACACACACACTCATACACTACGGACAATTTAGCCTATAACCCGGAGGAAACCCACACGAAGACAGGGAGAACATGCAAACTCCACACAGAAACGCCAACTGAGCGTGTGTTGGGACCAGCGACCTTCTTGCTGTGAGGCGACAGCACTACCTACTGCGCCACTGCCTCGCCCCATTATGATTACTCCAATTTTAAAGGGTTTGCTTTAAGGCAGACTACAGGATAGGTCATAAAAGTGACCTTCTATGACTTTAATCCTAAAAGTTAAAATACATCTTTAAGTCAGAAATGACAAACACTTATGGTAGAAGTCACAAAATGTGCGGCTTCTTTGACATTTATGAAATAATCCACGTTTGAGCAAATGCACCTTACATAGTGTTGCATTGTACCCTCAGGCTAGGTCAACCCTCTACAATGAGGGCCATTACCTTGCAGTAAGTGAATACCAAATGGCCCATTCACCATGACACATTGTGAGAGGAAAAGGGCAGCCATTTTGTTTTTATTGACCTGAAATGATTAATCTCTGCACGGGGGATACAGAAATAATTACCTGCATGATTTATGCTGAGAAAAAGAAAGTGAAAAAGGGGAGAACTGCTGAAGTGTTGTGTTTTAGAACTAGCTGACATACACTTCGTATGGGTTTAATTACATTTACCAACATGTCAAAAAAATTATGTATATATATATATATATATATATATATATATATATATATATATATATATATTAAGATTTAGTTATGGCCTTTATTACATAGGAAAGTATTTAGACAGGAAGCTAAGTTGGAGAGAAAGAGGGGGGTAGGGTAGGGAAATGTCCTTGAGCTGGGATTCGAACTTGGGACGCCCTGACATGCTACTGCACATATGTCGGCGCGCTAACCACTAGGCTATTGCGCCGACATATATTAATAGGATTTCTAGTCGAGATGATTTCATACATAAATATGTTTTCTAGTTGATTAGAGATTATTCGGCTAGTCGGTGCAACCCCTAGTATATATATATATATATATATATATATATATATATATATATATATATACATATTAGGGGTTGCATCGACTAGTCGAATAATCGCTTATTGACTAGAAATCGACTAATCTAGTCAACGTTAATGCTCTGATGTGACACTTTTGATTGGTGTCGACTAGCCGTGCAGCGCAGATTGAGTGTTTTTTGACCTGAACTACATGCCAGCTTTGGACACTGAGGTGGTTCAGTGAATGAAACTGTCCTCAGATTACCTAAAGTAATTTTTTACATGTTGTTTTTCTTATGTCAGCGACAAAGATTTATATGAACTCTGAGTGAACTTTAAATTGTCAAACAGATGCCAGTTAGATCACTCCATACAAATACCCTAGAACAGACGATAGCCAATCACGTTTACGCAACCTTGGAAAAGTAATCTATTTGGCGATTACCCTTTGCAAAGTATAGGACATATTTTTTGAATGAACTGTGAAGCGTGCAGAAACCGTGAAGTGCGCAGCCGCGAAGGTGTGACAAACTTCACAGCGTGTGTAAACATCATTCCTGTGAACGCGGTGTAGATGTGCAGCAAGGAGACTTCTGATATCCAAGATGAGCCAGCAACCTTCAGCAGGATTTTAAGCAGCTTTCTAGCGCGCACGATCATAGCGGTAAATTATCCATCTGAGCAAATCTCTGACAGGGTTATATGACTTAATGCTATATCCTTTGTGTTTCGTGCATTATGTTATAAATAACTTCACATGAATCTTGTTGCTGAGAACTTATGCATTGTTTTTGCATTAAAATATATTACTATAACGTGCAGTGATCAATGTGTTGACTGCATTTTAATAACAGTAAAAAATAGCCCGAGGGCTAATGTTGCATTATTAACTAAATGAAAGTGTTTGCAATGCATTTGTTTAGAACTAAAATTAGTCACTGGTAATGGTGAATTGTTTTTGCAATGCGTTATGAGCTGTGTATATATTTTCTGCAAATAAATCACAAATTGTGGCATGCTGCAAAACATTTGCATGTTTTGTTTTATTGATGAAGTCATTAGTCATAGTCGGTCTCGACTCGAATTTGATAACAAAAGTCGACTTCCAAAAATGTATAGACATATATACTCATATATATATATATATATATATATATATATATATATATATATATATATATATATATATATATATATATATATATATATATATA